TTGACACAGATTAGTATTGTTAAGAGCAGGGCAGTATAGTTATATGTACAGGTTTATATTACTAAGGGCAGGGCAGTAATGCTATGTACAGGGCAGTAAATTGACACAGATTAGTATTGTTAAGAGCAGGGCATTATAGTTATATGTACAGGTTTATATTACTAAGGGCAGGGCAGTAATGCTATGTGCAGGGCAGTAAATTGACACAGATTAGTATTGTTAAGAGAAGGGCAGTATCATTATACTTATCAGCGAAATAATTATTTTTTTTTACAATATACAGTAACCACATTTGTATTAGTGGTATTACCGGTAGTAATATTACTGTGTAATACATTTGTATAGGTGGTATTTGTAATATTACTATGTAATACATTTGTATTGGTGGTATTTGTAATATTATTATGTAATACATTTGTATTGCTGGTATTTGTAATATTACTATGTAATACATTTTCTTTGCTGGTATTTGTATTATTACTATGTAATACATTTGTATTGGTGGTATTTGTAATATTACTATGTAATACATTTGTATTGGTGGTATTTGTAATATTACTATGTAATACATTAGTATTAGTGGTATTTGTAATATTATTATGTAATACATTTGTATTGGTGGTATTTGTAATATTACTATGTAATACATTAGTATTTGTGGTATTTGTAATATTACTATGTAATACATTTGTATTGGTGGTATTTGTAATATTACTATGTAATACATTAGTATTGGTGGTATTTGTAATATTACTATGTAATACATTTGTATTGGTGGTATTTGTAATATTACTATGTAATACATTAGTATTAGTGGTATTTGTAATATTGTTATGTAATACATTTGTATTGGTGGTATTTGTAATATTACTATGTAATACATTTGTATTGGTGGTATTTGTAATATTACTATGTAATACATTAGTATTGGTGGTATTTGTAATATTACTATGTAATACAATTGTATTGCTGGTATTTGTAATATTACTATGTAATACATTTGTATTGGTGGCATTTGTAATATTACTATGTACTAATCAAGTGTATTGTAGTCTTTGAAATAATAATACATGTATGTATGTATGTATTAACTTAAATTATTGGTAGTACTACTAATAGTACTATGTACCTTTGCAGGTGATTTCTTAATGACATATCAATTATTCAGCTTTCTAATATCACCAATATGCCTTTAGGAGACTATTCTGTAGGTACACAAAAATACTTAATTTTAATTGATACTCAACACCTGCGTCTAAATTAGACTTTGACAATTCACATTGTGCGTGTATGTAAGGTCCTATGTAACCAAATACTATCTTTAGCTTCAGTTATTGTTTGCTATAGTAAAACCCATAAAATGCATAATTTACAAAAAAAGATGGAATAAATGGGTATTTTGTCATATCTAAATCATGATATTGAAGTTATCACATAGTGTTCACTTTATCTATGCACACATTATTTAATTTACTGTCCTTGAAAATTGTTGAAATTTTTTTTTCAGTACATTGTTGAATCTCCCTCACCCTAGTAGATAAATCAAACACAGTCAGATATGGTATTTTTCATTTGATATCAGAGCAGGTATATGAGCTAGCAAGCTGCTTATTTTCACAGTGCTCCAAAGTGAAAGTTCAAACAAGGTTGTACCTAATTATAAAAACGTCATTAAATTTGTTTTATCCCCATACTGAATGTTTTCATGTCTTAGCATTGGTTATTTGTTGTTGTTTTTTTCATGCTTTTCGGAAATACTCTACTCATGATGGTACATGTTAATTCAAAATTTAATTAAAACAAAATTAAGTATTTGTCATTTCATAGTACCGTGTTCTAACATGTTTCAGTTTCCGTGAATGGCAGTATTCATCTAATGTCACATCATTGATAGCAGAGAA